TAGTATTTATAATGGTGAACTATACGATAGTCGAAATGATCGTCCTAACTGGGCTCGAGCAGGATTTAATGATTCTTTATCAGCTTGGATTATGCCTGAATCAATGCCATCACCACTTAACAGTTCGCGCAATGGTTCGCTTGTTGTCCAGGACATGTTACCAGTTCGAGCTGGATCTGATGCATTACATTTTGAAGTTATGACAGATAATCAACAACAAGGTTACTTGAATCCTAAAGATATAGATGAAATCAAAGGTGCTAAATTAACCGATGGTGGAATACTCAAACCTGTAGATATGTGGACATCGGATTCAGGTATATTTTCCTATTTATCCTAGAATAACTTAATCATTTTAATTATGAATTTTTGTATAGGTGTTGGCACATTTGATCTAGGTCAAAATATAGCAGGTTGGTGTCGATTGAGATTTCGTGGTCCACGTGGTTTTGGCGTCTCCATTCGTTATGGTGAAGCATTAACCCAACCAGTTGTATCTACTAAGTAATATCTTAATAATTTGATAAATTACCATAATTTGATATCCTGTCAACAATACAGTTATTTATTTTTAGTCATTCTAGTCGCAATATCTATACAGAAAACCTGCGTGAAGCTATAGTAACTGACACTTATGTATTGTGGGGGAATCCTGTTAGTGAAATCTATGAACCAACGTATGATATTTCTTTTTTTATTAACTAGCATTTATTTTCGACTTTTTCTCCTTAGTTTCACTGTTCATGGTTTTCGTTATCTGTCTATTTTTGCTCCACCGAATGAGTTGACACCCGATGACGTCGAATGTCCATTTGTACATAGTGAAACAACGTTGAAAGGTCATTTTGCTACGAGCAATCAAATCGTCAATCAAATTCAACATAATATCCTTTGGACTCAGTTGAGTAATCTCATGTCTGTGCCTACTGATTGGTCTGTTATATTTATATATTTCCTTCTATTCCATTCAAGCTTTCCTCTTCACTCTTTTGTAGTGCACAACGTGATGAACGTCGAGGATGGATGGGTGATGCAGCATTAACAGTTAATGAAGCATTGTACAATTTCGATTTAATTAAATTCTATCATAACTATCTCAATATGATCGTTGATGATCAACTAGCTAATGGTGAATTACCCGATTTTTTGCCGGTTGGTAATAATCCATCTAAATCAAATTGGGGTAGCAATTATCCAGCTGATCCAAATTGGGGTTCCGCATTGCCAACAATAACTTGGCAGGTTTATCGACACTATAGTGATGTTCAAACACTGAAAGATCATTATGATCATATTGTTGCATATGTGAAATATCTTCAAGGTATTTACAATACAACAGGTCTTGCTAATTTTACTGTCCGATTTGGTGATTGGGTTCCACCACCACCAGAGCCTATGACAAATGGAAGTTTAATTGGATCATTTGGTTTTCTTCATGATGTCAACCTTTTAATTAATATGTCTGAAGTACTTGGTAAAAAAGAAGATACTGATACTTATTCAGCATTATATCAAAAACTTGCTGGGGAATTTCATCAAGTTTTTTATAATACTTCGTGGAACTTTTATGCGGATGGAATGCAAGCAGCACAGGTGTTAGCTTTAGCATTACCCGATGTTGTACCGGCAAATGTTCGAGGTGCCGTTATCAATCAACTCGTTGCTGATATCAACCAAAAAGGCAATCATGTGACAACAGGTATCGTGTCGACAGCTCAGATTTACCCAATCCTTTCTGACAATGGACATCATGATTTGGCACTTGAATTGATATCATCAACAACTTATCCATCCTATGGTTATATGTTCAACAATCCTTACGAAAATGCTACTACTACATGGGAACTATGGAATACACCGCTGACAGGACCTTCTATGAACTCTCGTAATCAAGCTATGTATAGTAGTGTTGGTGCATGGTTTTATTCCCATTTAGCTGGTATTGATCTTTCATCAAACATGATTACTATTCGACCTCGAATGACTTCTGAGACCAAAAAACATCTTATGCCAAAATTAGACTGCCAATTGAGCACATTATATGGTCTCGTTCATGTTTCCTATACGCGAGATGAACGTGATACTGTTTCCAATTCAATTTTACTTCGTGTTACTATACCACCAAATGCACAAGCTCGTGTTATGTTTGAACCATTATTTGTTGGTGGACAATGTAAAGTATTGATTGAAGGTAATAAAGTTATTTGGTCATCGGATGTCGATACTATGAATGATCAAAGATTTGGTATTGAAAAGGATTCAGCAACGCGTTTGATGACAGTACATGTAGGCTCAGGTCATTATGAATTTCAAGCATTATGGCAATGAACACATGTTTGAAGAAAGTTATCAACCTTTTGTATGTGCGTGTGATATTTGTCTCAATATTATAAGAAGTGATTTGGGATAAACCATATGAATAAAAAAATAGTTAATTAAGTGTAAAACGGTTTTATGCTGTTGTCATTGAACATATTTCATCTTGTTATTCATCAGAAAACACAATTGTCTTCACGTTTAGGTTGACAATACCTACGGAAAAAAATAATTAAAATACCTGCGAGATTCCGCAGAATTTTGCGCAGGAACTATGCAGGTTATGTGTGTTAAAATATCCTGCGATATTACCTTTACGTTTTTTTTTGGCAGGCTGCTTCTTCGTGTAACCTGTAAGAATTTTAATTATTTCTTCTTACGTATTATGAACATATGTTTAAAGTGGATGGGGAAAGCCTTTTCATATGTTGGAAAGAATGTGGGATCTATTTTACGTAACCGTTGATTAAATTTTTATTTAATAGACCCCTAGCAACTGTAGCGAAAGAAAAAGACAGTATGTCTATCTTTTATTTTCTTCAGGTTTCAAACACTTTGATGGTTCGTTCACAGATACAAGAGATAGTAGAGAGACATACTACCTTTTTCTTTTACTATCGTTGCTAGAGCTCTAATGAACAGTATGAAGAAAAGAAAAATATCGTTACTGGCGGCCAACTTCTAACAACTCTTATGCCATGTATTTTCTCTCGCAGGCAACCGAAAACAGGGAAGAAAAAATTTCGCAGGTTTAGCAGAGTAAAAAATCCTGTGGGATACATCCGTTCAATGCATGTAAAAATTTTACATGATGACCCTGGAAAAATATTCTCTAGGATCTTGCAGGAAATAATCCTGAAAAGTAAGCGAGTTGAAAAGTCTTCTAGATTATACTCAACAACGTGCGCTTTCTAAAACTCAACAAGTTTTAGAAAGCGTAGCGTTCTATATGCTTTGTTTACATGATGATATGTGAGCAACCCAACTGCTATTACAGATAATAATATAACAGCAGCTGATTTAATCATTATGTATTCCTTCCTAACGTTTCGATTTTATCAAAAATCATTGTCGGAATTCTCCAAAAATACAAATTTCATAAAATGATTGAAGTACATATACTGTACAAATTAAGTCTCTTTTACATTCTTTCTTTTTCTTTTCCTTTCTTTACTTCTTCACAGCAAAAATCATAGTTCGTTCCATAGTTCAGTTCCATGTCATTTTTTGTTGTATTTCTTTCTTACCACGATCTATAGGAAGTCATCTATTTGTTAATCCTTCTGAAAATATTGTCAGAGGCATCGAATGTGTTTGTACAATTCAAGGTAGCTTGAAGCGATTTGATCAATAAATGATACGAATTACTATCAGTACAGATAACTTCAAAAGGAGGTGGACGGGTAAGCTGGGAATATTCCTTCCAAAATTTTAAAGCTTTTACGATGGAAGACCTATCAGAGTGATGTCTGGAACACATTCTACTACTTAGTTGCTCAAACTTTGAATCTGAGGTTTTTGACGCCTGAGGTTCTCCTAAGGTGTCCGAAAAGCTTTTTTTCTCGCATTTAGATAAAACCGCATGAACTGTATGCAGCTTTTAATGGTGATTACGAGTATCATATTCAAAGATGAAATTGATGTTGTTTTCACAGAGAAAATTCAGTTTTACTGTCTCGATGTCAGCAGCAGGTATTTTGCAGATTTAATTCAACTATTGGTACAAAAATGCATTTCAATCCATCAAAAATCAACCATAATGTGCAGAAATCTTTGGTCTATCATGCTGTATTATCAAAGATACTCTCACTTAACGTCAAGCGTTCGAGAATTTCGAAGTAGGGCCAAAAATTTCCAAAACTTTTGAAATTCACTGTGTATTTTTTTCGCTGTATTGCAAGAGAATCTCTAACCAATGAGAACATTTTACAGTAGATACTACTTTTTACGCTCTATCGATTGAGCATGTCAGAAAAATAAGAAAAATAGTAGATCACCAAAGTCATATGTTATTTTTCAAAAAAGATTAGTTTATGGAATTCATATAAAAAAGTGAATTGTTATGAACAAAATGTATGACTCATACAATACAACAGATTTTGAGCCAGAAAAACTAAAATCATCATCATCATTAGAAAAACTGTGGGTTAAAAGGATAATATGGTTTATCAGTAAAATGAAAGCACTGACCTTCAGTAAAAAGTTGAGCTCATAATATAGAGTTTTGCGAGAGTTATCCTAATATTAAGGGTCAAAAAGTAGGTACTCGTATTGCAGAGATTTTTTTCGCAATTTTAATGATATGGACCTCGGGATAGCGTCAAAATGTACAGAACACTTGTCGCTACAACCTAACAAAGCCGGGTTTTTGAAAAAAAAGAAATTGTTTCTTGAAAAAGGTTTTTGGAAAACTCGATTTTTTCATAAAGAACTAAATTGAAAACAAAAATTCTGGCTTTGTTAGGTTGTAACGCTGAGCTTTAGCTTCATTTTAAAACCTTCCCGAGCTTTCTAGCATTCAAAATGGTGGCGAAATCTTGGAAATACTGACAGATAAATTTGTAGAGAAGCTCAAATAACTTCCATACTTGGAACTTTCAACAACAAAAATTTTTATGTAGGGTGTTTCAGTAAAACCTCTCAAAAACCCTCATAAAACCAATGAATCAAAGTGCATTCGAAAGTACAGATTATGGGCTACCTAACTATGTATAAATCTCCAAATTGATATTTTTGACCAAAATTGCTTTTTTTCTTACCCTTCCCTTAAGGAAAACATTCGGAGTCATAGAATTTTGGACATAAGCAAAACTTTCTCCTTCGATTAATGTCCTGTCTTAGATACCTTCTAATTGCATCTCAGAACACTTTTTAGTACCTGTTACAAAGCCAAGGAGTTTCTTGAAACCCAGTCGCTTATGGAAATTTTTATCTAACTGTATATATCTTTTTATTAAATGCGGCGTCTAGACTTTGGAATGACTGTAGAATTACTAAATGGTTCTTGAAAAAAATACATTTTTAGACAAAACAAGGTTAGTATTTGGAGTATAGCACCGTGAAGAGGTTGAGTTGTTTGGAAAACCTTTATTATGATTTTCCGAAGTTTGCTAAGCTGATATATAAAATATAGAACATAATAGGGTACTTGTATTTGGTAAGCTTTTAAAAATGTTGTTGTATTTATAGAGATGTGCACGGGTACGTGAGCCAGAGGAAAGAATAAGCTCTAAGTAACAGTTCACACATCTCTATAAATACAACAACATT